ATTAAATTTAATTTCTGGCATGCGTCAATGCCTAATATACATTGTAAATTTTTCTCTACAACAAAAAATTCTAATATACAATTGAAATTCTTATGTCGACAGTTGAGATAACATTTTCCTAGTACTGGTAAAAAATTGTTTGTGTATGATCTTAATCTTACATTCGAGTCTATTATGAAATTCTGATGTAAATTCAATAGTTTCAACTTATCTATTGAAATTAAATTAGCTTGTGCTCCTGTATCCATTTTAAATTTCACATCAGTTTTATTATTAAGACAAGGTGTCACAAACCAAGAGCTGTCATTGTTTTCAGGACTGTTTTCAATACCATAAACGAAAACATAATTATCTTTGTCAGCATCCTCGTCAGACGGATTTCCATCTCTGTTGACCTAGTTAATACTCTTCTTTTTTTACATTTTTGCAAAGTGATCATTGTGACCACACACTCGACACTTTTTTCCAAAAGCTGGGCACTGATTCCCGCACTTATAGCAAATACCACTGTTTTCCCCTAACGTATTTGACATCTGACCTCGAAACCTTGCAACCGAATTTGAATTAAAACCCGAACCACACACACTTTGTTGTTGCGCACACTGCCGACTGTTTGCTGCTCATTTGAGTATGTGCTCCGGCCATTTTATTGTCGCCTTGAAGAGGTTTTCGGATTGTGTCCTTTATAAACAGTTTCAATTTCCAAACTGGATTCCCTACAACCTGCTCTGGAACTAGACATCATGGTTGACTGCTCTCTCGATTTTTATAGCTCCGTCCAAGTCTTTTTCATCTTCCTGTAGTAGTTTTTCTTTGAACATCTGATTCTGCAAACCACATATCATTATTATCCTTGATGAGACTATCTTTTAATTTATCGAATTCACACGAACGAGCTTTGTTTTTTAGGTCTGTCACAAACAACGGCGGCTCGTCAGAGGAGGCAAGGGATGCTTAGCCTCCCCATAAAATTTGAGGCTATTCATCGCAATAAATTAAAAGATATTAACTACACAATTACATAAAAAACGCTGAACTATTAGTTTTTGCCTCCGCCAAGGCTGCTACGATTTACTATGTTTACATGGTGTACAATATATTGACTGAGAATAAGAAATACTTACAATACGTAACACTCCAACATAAGAGATGACTTTTTGATGATTATTTCCTTCAAACCGATAAAATGATGAAAAAATGAAAACCAGACCACTGAAACAGAGTTTTACAGCGATTAAACGCTTCTTTCCAACATCAATGACACTGACAGCGATAAAACTGACAGCTATGTGAGTTATATCGCTGTCATATGTGTCATATTGAGCAATAACAGCATTAGAGTCGTGCTTACTCATGGTTTCATTAAACTGGTTACTCAATGTTTTCGATGAAAAATGAAAATGTATCAACGAAATTTCGAGGTTTTGTGCTATTACTCTCAATTATTTTTGTTTTCAAAGTTGGTAGTAACTACGGCTAACATGGTCTATTCTGAAGTATCATTTTTTGATGGTGTTTGTTCAATGACTCGAATATTATTGATAAGACACATACATAATCTATCATGTTTCAACTGAAAAGAGTTCCACACTTTCTTATTCCGGTACCGGGAATCGAACCCGAGCCTCCTGGGTGAAAGCCAGGTATCCTAGCCACTAGACCATACCGGATTAAGAATATACAAAACGATCATTCGGATATAAAATTTTGTGACAATACATTTGTTTCTCTTTCATGAAAAAACAGTGAGAAAAAACAATTGTAAAGAGTTTGAATTACATTCCAAATTTTGAGATTATGGGTAATATTTATCAGATATCAGTAACGTTAAGCAGTGCGTTCTTATTCCTAGTTAATAAAGTTGTTAACAAATAGCATACCACATACCGTACCGCTGAGGGGTAACAACATCAAAATTTCTCTCTGCATAGTCGCTCGTTATATAAATATTTGAAATTGAAGCGGTTTTAATCCCTTCCATCCTCACAAAACGCCGTCCTTTCATGTGTTTCTTCAGACTTGTGAACAGAAAAAGTCGGAGGGGGTCAAATCTGGTGAATAAGGTGGTTGAGGCCACCGGTATTGTTTTTGGTTGAAGAATTACGAACAAGCAATGACGAGTGAGCAGGCGTACTTCCATGATGTTAAAGCAATTATTTGTTTTTCCACAATACTCGACGTTTTCTTCGTATTGCTTTTCGCAAGCGGCGCATAACTTTAAGATAATACTCCTTATTGACTGTACGACTATGTGGCAAGAACTCCTGATGCACTACGCCACGGTAATAGAAGAAAACAGTGAGCAAAACTGTGACATTTGATCGAACTTGGCGTACGTTTTTTGGTCTTGGTTCTCCTGGGCTCTTCCATTGGGACGATGTCAAAACCATATACCCATGACATATACCCATGATTCATCACCAGTTATGACTCTTTTAAGCAAATCTGGATCGCCGTTGACGCCATTCAACAATTCTTGAGCGACACTTGTGGGACGGTTTTTTTGTCAAAATTCTGAAATTTTGGAACGATTTTCGCTGCTATACGCAGCATGCCTACAATTTCCGAAAAAATTGCATGGCATGAGCCAACCAACTGCCCACATCTTCAGCAACATCTCTAATAGTGATTCGACGATTCTCCATAACAATTTTCATTTTCTCAACTTTTTCTTCGGGTGTTGATGTGCTGGGGCGTCCAGGGCGAGCGTCAGCATTCACATCTTCTCGACCTGTGAAATGCTTGTACCATTTTTGAACGTATTTTTGACTCAGGGTACAATCACCGTATGCCACTGTCAATATTTCAATTGTTTTCTGAGCACTCAATTTCATTTTTTTGAGCAGTTAATTCAATTTTTACACAAAATTTGATACAAGTTCATTGATCCATTTTTTTTGGTAGCAAAAAATTGCCAAACACGCAAAACAATTCCATCTTTTATGCCTGTCGCCAAAAAACTAAACATGCTAAACAGCTGAAACTATGAACATATGTTCGAGACGAGTGTACCAACATAAAATAAAAACGAATATACGTAGACCGCGAAATTTGAACATTCACCTTATTGTTTTAACAGACCTCATACACTTCTTCAGACGTTTTTTTAAAACACACGGATTTTTGAATATACATGTAGAAAATATTATATAATGAAACACACTTTGCGGTATCTACAACTGTTAAGTGAAAGTCTAACAACGTTAAGTGACAATTATAAGATTCATTAAATAATGTATTGGATGTATTACTTTACCCTAGAAGCAAAGCAAATTTTTTCTCAGAATTCATCTCTAGGAGGATACAATTGAAACCAACGCCCAAAAACAAACCATTCGTGATTCAATACCATGAATGAAATTTGCAGAGAAAGACTTTTGTTTATGTCCATGGAAGAGGCTTCTTTCCATGGAAGAATCAGAACCGTAGGTCGTAATGATTGGATTAATCTCAAGTCATTCTGGAACGCTTCAAAATTAAAGGCCGAATATATGAAATACTAAAATATTAGATTGGGAATGAAAAAAATATTTGACCACTGAACTCATATGACGTAAAACTAATCCAATAAAATATGAGTCGTTTCCACTCTGAGGTTGAAACGTATCAAAATTGATGATTTTTTACATGTCAATGCTACACGATGCGATGAAATACACACTAAAAAAGTATTAATTATTTTACAGCTGAGATACTGCTGTTCCACGAGACACTTTATTACTTTAACAAAATGTTACTTTTCACTAACTATGTTTCTTGATTACTTTTTCACTATTTTATTACCTTTTAAAGATTTACACCGTTATCCATTTTTTTTAAATGAATTCCACCTCGCTTGTATCATATTGGTTGAATGATTCCAAATCATGATTTGGTTCATATTCTTTGATACCATTTTATTGAGGATTAGTAACAGACAATTTTCAGTCAACAATCTAGTGTTAAAAATGATCTTACTTGTTCCAGTAAATCTAAGGCATTTACTTGCATATTTTGGGATACCACACCAACCTCAGCATTGATACCTCACTTTTTGATATACCCTTGTAATAACACCTTGTAATAACGGGGGAGGCATATGACACCAATGTACATTTCCGACACATATGAACCCTGTAAGAGTTCATACGATTGAAGATCAGAAAAAGAATAAAAAAAGAACATAAAGAGTAGTGAAGAAATGTACCTGTCACAAGGAAAAAAAGATGAGGAAACCAACTGAGAAATGAACTGAACAACTGCTTCAATATGATAGATCGGCTCAGAATGTTATTCGACTATTCACTGAACACTGTCCATTAGAAGATACCTAACAGGTTTGTCTAACGAAGAACATACCTGCAGGGAATACATTAAGGAGGCTGTGAAAACTCGTCATGTGTATGTAAGGTATCAGATCATGTAAGACAACTCAAATTATGTCCAGAAGAATATAACAAACATCCAACAGAGGGCCTGTATAAACTAGTACAGTACAGAAAGTACCCAGAAGTTCCAGAATTCAATCACTAGACGACGAATGTTTCAGAATTTCAATAAGTATTCGTTTAGGGTGTTTGATCTGTGTTAACCACAAATGCCGGTGTGGTTTTGTTGATGGAAATGGTACTCATGGCCTCAGTTGTAAATTTAGTATGGAACGCTTCTCCTGACATTATTCAGTAAATGACCTAATCAATATCCTTTCTCTGATTGAACCTCTAGAAATCAGCCAAGATAATACAAAATGTCCTGTTAGAATGTCTCTCATTCCTTGGAGACATGAAAAATCTTTGGTATGGGACTTCACCTGTATTGATACCTTGACTCGCTGTCATCTCAATTCAACTTCGCAAGATCGATATATTTTTAATCCCATTGCCATTGAAACATTCGGTAGCTTTGATTCCTTTGCTTCCGATTTCTTCAGCAATTTTGGTCGAAAACTATTAACAGTAACCGGCGATTCTAGAGCAAGATCATTTCTAATACAACGAATCAGCATTGCAATTCAGGGAGGAACTGCTGCATCAATACGACCCCTCCCGATATAGAAGGCCCCGACACTCTGTCGTATGAGGCCCCTATGTCCTCCGTTAACAGATGAATAATATCTTCATCTATCTCACCCCAGCCAGGTAGGGGTATAACGCGAAGGGCGGTATGGATGTCTAAGGACTTTCATGCCACCATCAAACATCAGTTGTGACCCATTTGTCTCTCTGACAAACTTCAGTCAAAAGGGGAAGGAGGCCAGGCTTCAACCTGAATAAAATCAAGATGGTTAACGTCGTTGCTGCATCAATATTATCCAAACGGCAATGAAAGTAAATCAGTCTATAGTTCTACGAGGACGCCGAAAACTCCAGAAGATCCCACCAGTTTGTAAAACCAGACTGTTGTAGGATGAGCACGTTTCTATCTACATACACGATTGACGGTGGGCAGTGAACTTGTAGCCAAGAGGTCTGCTTAATCAAAACAATTACTGCTACATCAACTCGATTTTGCAAACCCTGATCGCCTGTCCACCACTCTACAACATACTGAATAGTTTGCGCAAAAATATCTGGTCGAGCGAGAGTAAGAAATCTACTCCGGTTATATTTAGAATGTGTGGTTTTGTTGAGCAGTTTGTTTGCTCACCTTCCTACATTGAGATGGAAGACGGGAGAGTGGATAAAAATGTCAAGAATGATCAAGAAGTTATAATCAACACTGGCATCCCATTCGGTCCGACGTGGATTTATAAAATGTTGCATAACATACGGTCTGACTGGATCGAGGGTAGACAACAAGATGCGGAAGTGTTTCTAGGTTTTCTTTTGAGTGGACTCAATGATGAAATGTTAGAGCTGAAGGAGTTGAATTTACATTCAGTCCTCCAAGTATGCCCACTCAATTTGTAAATATTAAACTGAAGATGAAAAACCTCTCTTTGACTCTGCTTTTAGCAATGATTCAGGCAATGAATGGAAAGTAATGGGATCGAAAAATAAAGGACATTCAACCAGAAGGATTGACTGCACCAGTACACCGATAAGTGACATTCAACTAAAGTTGAGCATTCATCGTATCGGAGACCACATTACTGAAATTATCCAGCCTTTCCTCACATTGCCACTTAACATTGAGAAGGTGAAAACTGTTGGAGAATCGCTCAAGATACTCGTCTCCAAGAACAGTTCAGTGGAGGTAACTTCGTCGAAAACTAACGTCATGTGCGTGGCAGCAAATTATGCTCTGCCAACTTACCGCTATCCTCATATTGCATCTGAAGTTTTTCGAATACAGCACGAAGATTATCAAGGCTTTGTAGTTCGAATTCGACTTGGGGATTGATTCGACATTGGTATCGTCGAAAACACAGTCTCCAAAGGAGAATAAGTAGGTACAAGCTAGTCACCGTCGTTTACCACGAAGGCAAAATTGTCAACATTGGAAACAACGTGACCGATGTTTTACACGTCGGCTACAACTGCTGGATAAGGTACGACGATTCTTCGGTCGAAGCCCTGCAGGAAAAATACGCAGGAGAATTTGCTGTTCTAAAGACGAAGCGATACGATCCGATATAAATAACCCCCTCCTAGGAGGATGAGGTTGCTGCGTTTACATAGAGTTCAGCGTCCAGAATCGTACGGAATTTCTCTTTTGAGTTTTCATCAAATTTGATTTTTTATTGGTTTCAATGGATTTTTAATTCTTTCATTTTGTTGTAATGTAAAAAATGTAATTTGTAATTTTTTGATTTTGTTATTAAATCTACATTCTCGATGATGAAATCATAAAAAAAATAGTTCAAGATGATATTATTTCCTTTCACACCTGATTACCTAAACACGGTTTCACTAGGAACTATTCTTCCTTGAACGTCAAATATATATGTAACTATATAAATCTAATTTTTTTTTCTTTGATTACAGAAGCTCAGCAAAGTTGTTCATCTGTTGATACTAGCCCTCAGGATGAAGATCGTGCTTTCGATATATCCGACTCAGAGTCCTCAGAAGACGGCAACCTGAGCAATATCGTCAGTCTACCCCAGCGCCGAGGCATAGTCAACCCCAACTACCCCGGGTTCCAGCATCTGGCCCACACCCTTGTCTCGGACCCCGACTTCACCGATGATGATTTGGAGTGCGATGCGTTCACCGCGAAACTGGAAGCCGAGGCCAATAATAATAATAATGTGGAAGACACCGATTACAAAATCGATAGCGTGAATCGACTTGATAGTGTTGAGAACATCCAGAAAGTTTTCTACGATAAGACAGTGTTCAATATCGAGGAGGATAGTGAGTTTAATCAGAACAGTGAGTCTAGTAGTGGAAACTCGAATAATAGTGATGAGGATACGGAAGTTCGTGTGCAACTGAATATCAAAATCGAGGAAAGGGAAACGCCGCTAGAGAATATTGTGGGTCAGTATATTGGATTTGATGTTTGTTAATTTGTGCGCCTAATTCGATTTGCTAGAGTAAGAGGCATACAGAGTATCTTCACTGTCTGAGATTTTTCATCCATTGCATGCATGTAATGCATTACATGTCCGTATAATAAAAATCATGATGATGATAAAATCCAAAGAACAAAACGTCGCGTTGGTTCATATCAGATTTTAACATATATGAAACAGTAAGTTTCTCTGCCTTCTTTATATTTTTCGAAATAGCAAGGATAGACCAAAAAAACGATATTCGTCAATTCTAGTTTTTGGCGAATATTTCAAAATCAACCACTTTTGTATTCTTGATCTGAAAAGAGATTATTCCAGTTCTTCAGAATAGAAAACTTTTGTCCCATATCTAATAGATCTACACAATGATGGTCTTTCGACTCTTTCAGTTGATCTATCTTCCATCCCAACGGATGAAAATTATCCGGTGATGAGAGAAAGTTTTCGACAACTTTCATAAAAAAGTTAAAGTTTGGCTTGAAGAAAAAAAGGAACTAGATCTTAAACATTCAGCTAGGAAAACAAAAAGGAATGGTATCACTGATATATGCAAAACGTAAAATAGCGATTTTGACAACATTGAGAATTCGAAAATGAAGATGATGATGAAAACAATGCATATTTTCCGGATTTGTGTAGCAGAGAATCACGGTTACGTTGCGATGCAACTTATGGTTTCATGTAAAATGTGCTGTGGTGGCAAAAAGGACGAAACAGTTCATATATTATGTGAAATACTAGCGATCCCTCCCGACTCCGCACGGGTGCGCATATTAAATAGAAATTCACCCACCGGAAATTTAGGGGCATGGGGAAACAGTGATGAAAAGATAATTTTGTTTTATGGATGCGCCTTTTTTCCCCGCGGCTGGTGCCCCAGTTGGAATATACAAAAATCTTTTTTTATTGCACATCTACAATATAAAACGAACCTACATACAAAATTTCAGCCTCCAAAAGTATACCGGTGTGGAGAAACAATTATGAAAAGGTAGCTTCATTTTATGGATGAGCCTTTTTCACCCGCGGCAGGAGGCCGAGTTGGAATATTTGAAAATTGTGTTTTATTGCACATCTACAAAATGAAATAAACCTACATACAAAATGTCAGTCTCTGAAAATATAGCAGTACGGAGAAACAGTGATGAAAAGGTAATTTTCATATGTATACGCGCCCCTTTTTTCCCATGGGGGGCGGCCCCATATAAAAAACCTTCAAAAGTTGAAGGTGAGGGCTGTTATTTTCAAAAACTACTTTCCGGATTATTTATTCTTTCTCGAAATTAGTTTTACTCTGAAATGCTGTAGACTCAGCTCTTACTGATATCATCGAGAATTATTCTGCAGGTATTGAATAGGAAATGCTGTTTCCAAATTCTCACATTACTCACAAAATACTAATTCATCGGAAGATCTGCGAGGACGAATCATTAATGCATGCCACGAAGTAACACTGCAAATGTTCCAAAATATACGACAACATTTTGAAAATAACCTGTGTTACTTCATTGAATTTTCAAGTCCATCTAATTTGGAGAATGATACCCCAGCTTAGATGCAATTGTTTTTAGATTGAAACTTGCTCCTCTAATAAAAACAAATTTGACCCGGAGTACCCCAAGAACTACACTCGGACCAGGGCCGCAACTTCGAATCGGATTTATGGAAGGAAATGATGACTCTGTTGGAAATAAAGACGACAAGAACAACTGCTTTTCACCCACAATTCGATGGAATGGTTGAGAGGTATAATGGCACCATCAATAACTACCTCTTGATGTTTGTCTCCGAAAACCAAAGAGACTGGGATAAATTGGTTCCTCTATTTCTGTTGGCATGTTGGCATGCAGGAGCTCCCAACATGACGCGACAGGTTATACACCATCCATGTTGTTAACTAGTAGGGAACTGAAGCTTCCGATAGAAGTATTGTATGACACTCCTTTTGATGAATCCGAAGAGGTACCTCTTTCAGAATATGTGAATAATCTGAAGAAAAGACTGGGAATTGTAAACGAATTTGCCAGGACCAAATTACAGCTTTTCAGCGACAGGGTGAAGATAAGATTTGTCCCAAGTTGCAGAGACCATGGCAGGGACCTTACTTGGTAATCAAGAAGATAAACGATCTGGTGTACAAAATCTAATTTTCACCTAGAAGCAAGCCTAAAGTTGTCCACATAGAAAGGCTGAGTCCTTACATGGGTCGTGATGTCCTCTCTTGGAATGTTTTTCGGGGCGACCAACCTCAGGGAAGGGGGTAATGTTGTAAATTATGCCCGAAAGAAAATAACGTTGGCCGCCGCTGCTAGCCATAAACCAGGTGTGACGTGGCTAAGAGCGTGCGACTGATGATTCCCCGCCAATCGAGAAGCAGGAAGAATAATAATATGGATTTTCATTAAGTATCGGCCAGTAGTATTCAATGATAGACATACAAATAATAGTTGAAGTTTTAGTTGATGTGTTTGTTGTATTAAAGTGAAATACAGTTAAGTTTAATTATTCAGTGCAGTCAATTTTTGGTCAACCTACGGGGAAAAACGTAACAATATGTTTACCGTTCAGTCTGCCTAACCACACCGATATCAATTTCATCGATTTTTGTCACAAAATTTCATTTTGGTATCTAGAAAAATGTCAAATATTTTGTAGTTTGTGGACTTCCAACTCTTCTGTATTTCCTTAATACAAATGAAAGCAAAAAAAGGCAAAACTCTAATAAACTTCATGATGACATGATGACGGTTTTTGGGTTTATAACCTTGCACAATCTGTAAAGTAAACAGAGTTGAATCAAGAAAAAATCTGCTGAGTTGTGATGAAGGACAAACTGAAATATTCACCATGAAAAGTTACTGTGTAGTATGAACCTCTGAAGAGTCCCATTAGTCAATATCTAATATGCATAAGTTTTGCCAATAAATTCAACAACCAATTGAAAAAATTTAATTTTTATAGTAAGCTTTCTTTAGGTGGGAACATTTCAAAAAAATATGCTTTTTCGTTCTCAAAACCCATTACATTTACTTGTGAGGAACGCTTCAATCAGAAACAAGTATATTTCTTTTAACAAATGTCGAAAGAATGAAATGTCCAGATGTCACATTCAATAGTCTAAAAAACTAATAAATAGAGTTTATTCTATGATTTTCACTATAAGGGTTTTACAAAAACCACGACACGTATTTCGCTATACAATAGCTTCTTCAAGCATAGTTATGCTTGAAGAAGTGAAAATCATAGAATAAACTCTATTCATTAGTTTTTTAAAATATAGATTTTCATCAAGTATTCGATAATATATATGAATACATATACAGGATGTTTTCCGAGAATTCAATTTAGGTTCATATTTCCGTTTTCAACCTTTTGAGTTCTCGTTTTTTTGAGAAATTCATTGGTGACAATTTTTGTTTCACTTCATTTTGTAAAATTGAACAGAGATGGTAATGAATTATTTTGGAATTATTCAATTCGCTGTTAGGTCAGCCCTGTAACAAGTTTGGATTATAAAATTTATTGAACATCTTACGTGTATAATTCATTACTATATTTTTGAAGACGTTAAAAATCATTTCAGATAAAAATAGAATTCAATAAATTGATGGATGTAGCCCTTACTAGGTAGGAAATCATAATGAAGAAAATAGAAATGAAACTAACGTTACTGCAGTTTTGTCCTATACGGACATTTTCAAACTTATACAAGAAAAGATAAATGAAACTTTCTATGTTTTTTGCCACTTTTATTTGTAACTATTAGTCCTATATACGGACATTTTTGAACTTATACAATAAACTTATAATACAAATTATTTTATTATAAGTTTGAAAATGTTCGTATAGGACGAAACTGCAGGACGTATAGGACGTTACTTACAAATAGAAGTGGTAAAAAACATAGAAAGTTTCATTTCTCTTTTCTTTATCATGAAAATAGAATTCGTTGACGTAATATACAAACATATCAAAATACCATTCGAAAATAATGTGGTTTTTGCGAATGAAAAACGGTTGTTTATTCTAACAGATTGATGAAAATGGCGATTAAAAATATTATTTTTATATTGCAGGGGACTTCAGTGAAGAAGTTCATGCAGAATTAGGAAAAGTTACCCTTGAGAAAGAGAACGTACTCGAGGATCCCTATGAACCTCCCAAAGTAGAGAAAGCTGTGGTTCAAGAGCTCGAAGAAGCAGTAGAGAAACTCCAAGTAATAAAAGACTTGAAGCCATCAGCGATCAAATATAACATCGAGCCAAATGTCGAACAACCTTTCGGCAAACTGTCACCTACGAAACAAATCACTTTGCACCAGGTCCTAGACGACACCGCCATCGTTAAGAACCCAGAAGCCATGTCTGTTGTTCAGGAAAGTTTGCCCCTCAATGTGAAGCTCGATGATTCGATGAAAATGAAGATAGAAGACGCATTTCTTTCAAACGCCACGGAAGACATCAAAGTATCTTTAGCCAAAGATAATATATTCGTTGACTCTAATCTCAACCTCGAAGGTCAAATGGAGGTTGATGTTAGCTTCAAGAAGTCTGAACTCACCAGGAAAGATTCAAATAGGGAGCTAGAAGATATCGAGTGTCAAATCAAGAAAATCAAATCTGACACCCAACAAACCTTCAATGAAGTTGAAAAATTCTGCAAAGAGGATCTTAGTAAAGAGTATAAAGAAAAAGATGAAGACAATACAATACCGAGAAAAAAAGAAAAGATGGATACTTTTGTGAAGAAAAGGAGGGACTACAACCAACAATTTGGCAGTTTAATAACTTTTCCAAGAAGGGAAATTGGAAACAGAAACCGCGATCCTATTAATAGGAGGTCGGTTCCCATGGCCAAGGAGAAGAAGAGGAACAACGGCGAGGCTTCAGGTATGTTATTAGAAATGGATACAAATATCAAAAATACATTCACAATTTCTCTATACAATAATCCCTAAAGAATATTACTGGAGTTTTTTTTTCAACAAGTGATCAAACTCTCTTCCTCTTGGTGATCGAAACACGTGTCGAGGTGTTGAAATAACGGTTTGGTGTTGGGAAAAAACTCCAGTAATATTCATTACTACACCAAAGGTTCCAAACAGTGCATCACAAATAATCCCTAATTTTATAATCTTGAAGCAGTGGATATTGATCCTAATGAAAGATATACTTTTCAACAATTTTTAGCAGAAACTTTTGTGAAATTTCAATGAACAAAAAATTTTTCTTAATAAGACGGCTTATTAATTATAGTTCCAAATTTTTATGTTTTTGAAGTTTGATATATTTAATTCTTTAAATAATCTATCTACCAGGACTGATTTCATTCAAATACTAACAAATAACCAAGCTGTACAGAAGATTGTTTGTCTTGTTGAAAGGCCGACCTGCTCTCATTATCATGGTCATTACAATCAAAAATTTAACCATTCATTGTAGAAAAAAGTACCATACACAGTCGCCTTTAATTGCAGCCATCGCGTTTATCTTTTCTGGATATAGTTTTTGAACTTCGTAGACTAAGTATAGGTTTTCGTCAGACCAATATCCGACAGATATTAACAGTCTCTTTCTGAACAAAATAACAAAGTCTGCCAAAGGCCGAGTTCTTGTTAGTGACGCGAAATCGACAATCGACTGCCTCAGATTCTCTTGCACACTCTCACTCAGCGGCGATGTTTTCGGCAGATCTTGCGTTTTGTTGATGTTCGGGTGTTGGTCAAACGTTCACTGAATCAGTTGACCCACTTTTATCCACAACAATACCACCGTATAGAAGTAAACAGAAGTAAATTCACTCCCGTCAGCCTCTTTGATGTTTCGGGACGAGATTTTTTATTGCTGGCATGTGGCGGGGCAGGAGGGTGTAGGCTGAGAGCTATATTTTGTAAAGATTTGACGAAAATCCATATTTAAATCAATAAATACGGTTTATTGAATGATTTTCACTATAGAGGGTTTTACAAAAACCGCGACACGTGTTTCGCTATAAAATAGCTTTCTCAATCATAAACTGAAAGTTACTTTCAAATTACAACCATTTTATACTCTAAACGATCAGGTATGAATTCATCAACTATATCAATAAATTTTTTGAAAGTACCGTAAATATACCTAACTATTTTTACCTGGAAATGAACAGATTCAATAATGGCGAATTATTCAATTCAGTTTGATCGTTCATAAGATATTGATAGTTTTTGAATTTGTTTATAAACAAGGTGAGATTATTCAATTTAGGTCAAAAACTTACGCTAATCTATTCTAAAGGTTTTTCAGAATGAGGAGTTTTTGATTTTTTTTAACATTTGTTTTCAATTTTCTGTTGGCAAATTTCAAAGTATAATAAATTCTTACACTTGTGAAAATGGTAAATAAATGATCCTAAGGAAAATTATCACAAGGGTGAGAAATGTTGATTTTTGAAAACATTGTTTTGAGCTGGTTGCCTATGCAATCATATGGCACATAAATTATAGAAATGATAAGGAAATTCTGTCTCTAGATGAATGATACTTTGTAAAAATTAATCTGGAAACATATATAAACTTCCAAACTGTTTGGTTTCTGTATCACTGTATACATTGAAATAACTATATACATTTGTTTCATTCAGTGTGATACTAGCTGCCGTGGCAAAATTTGTACATACTTTACATGAATGCTGTCCTAAACATTTTCCCAAAAGATATCCATAAACATAGCCCAAGCTGTTGCTTTCGGGAATGGCTAGAGTTCTATAATCATTTGTCTCCACTCTTAAACGTTTATAGGGATTTTTTGGAACTTCCACAAGAATCTTCACTCTATTTATGTCAGCATCTGTAATATTAGATAGAATCCCACTAGTATCTTCTAGACATTTAGTTCTATCTGCCTGTGTGAAATACTGAAAACTAAATGTGTTTTTGAAAGCTCTGGTAATTTGAACAGGAGTTGGGTTTCTGGCATTTCCACAAGCATTTCTCTGTTGACCAAAATAATTTTCCACACAGTACTGATTTATATTCCTCGTCAATATGTAGGAGTGTCCTTCACTATGTAGGTTTTCTCAAAGTTGCAGAAATGGCGAAATTGTTATCTGCCACCCCTCAACGAATCTCGTTTGTCCAGTCGTGTTTTTTCCTTTTTTTTTGATTTTNTATGTTTTTTAAGTAGAATACTTGTTTTCATAAGAAAATAATTTTTTTCAAATGCTCAAGAAAATGTCCTTACATATTGTATAAGTTTGAAAATGTCCTTATAGGATGAAACTGCAGTAACGTTAGTTACAAATAAAAGTGGTAAAAAACATAGAAATTTTAATTTCTCTTTTCTTCATTATGATTTCCTACCACGTAGTAACGGCTACATCAATCAGTTAATTGATTAATTAATCATCATCTTCATCACGAACGAGTCTCCGTGATCAGCTGTGATGGCGTCATGGCAACAGAATTCAGAGTGGGGACGGAGTAAGAGAGTAATAGATAGAGAAACAGTGAAAAGAGAATAGAGGAATAGAAACGCGCTTTACTAAATCCCGAAATCCCCGCTAGGGCTCCCCTATTATAACGGTAACATTACGAATAGTCCTGTCGGTAGGACATTGATGGCGACCGTAAAATGGGCGAAGCGCGCCGTACATTGCCCGAACAGAACACCCATTTTGATAAAACAATTTTATTATTTGCACGTGTTGTTGAATGATGTATTCTTCCATGGTGATTTGGAATACCCCATATATTATTGATTCGGGTTTGAAGTTTGAAAATCCCTTGTTACGAGAAATTAACTTTATTAATAGCATATATACCTGCGTGTTACCAGCTTATATTCCCTATTTGCATAATTAACTCAGGGGAGTATCGAGTTTTGTATTATTTCTACTGTAATTGATGGATTTTATATCGATTCTTATATAACAATTCATCTATAAAATATAACACTAAAGCCTCCAATATGACGTCGGTTGATTGCAAACTTACGGCTGAAAATGGTAACATTACCAACATATTGGTTTTGAATATGTTCTGATGTATTATATGGTTTCATATAGCATTATTGAACTCAGGTATAAATAACGTTTTGTCAATGAAATAATAAATGAATTTGGTATACACCAGTGTAAAATGGAAATGAACTAGTTGGATGAATCTTTTTATAATAAAATTTATGTATTTTCTTTGTTAGATTATCAACCAATTTCAATTCGTTAATTCGGCAAATTCACTAATACACTTTTATAATTTTGAATAAATCCAAAAATATCTACATAAAAGTATATCAGATATCCTCAGGGATAGATATTTCAGTACCTAAATATTTTTGATAATCTTTTGGCATTTCTGAATATGATTATGTCAATTTCGAAATGTTTGATTCCAGAATACTCGTTAGTTTTCAGACCTTCTGGAGATTAAGAAGCAATTCGGAATGTCCTTTCACTACCGTACCATATTGTTACAACTGGAGTACCTTAAGATTCTGTTGTAGGTCTCATTTTATTTATATATTCATAAAAAAGGTCAAGGCCTTGTAAGAATTTGAAAGAATTCTATTCAAAAGTAATTCTTTCATTTTGTCTAATCTTTCTACAAAAAACAAATATTTCGAATGGATTCATACAAATCATTCAGTTGTTGTGATAAGTACAGTCTCTGTTCAGGTAAGACTACTATGTGTGCAATATTAAAATAACTTACATAAAATAATATGAACATAAACAAAATTAACCTACGATTGTTAGTAACAAAAAATCAGCCTAGTGATTTACAGTCAGTTCATTTTAATCGTAAGTCGAAGGACAAAGAATAATAAAAACGCAACTACTTCGTGAACATTTTGTGAAGAGAAATCAAATGAACTTTTTTTGACCTACAAGAAGCCCTGATCTCAAACTGTTTGAACTTATACGATATTATTTGAAAAATTTCCTCGCAACAGTCAAGAATTGAAGTTCCTAAACCAATCACTTATAGAAAAAATTGAATATATCAACAAAAAATTGTCCTGCAGAAATAAATTACTTGAAAACAAATATACAGGATGGGGCACCGAAAACGAAACAGATCGCATATCTTCAAAACACATATGTTCTGAAAAAAACACAAAAACACGGCGATTTTCAATCCAAGGGGGAGATCTTCCTATCATAACCTCAACTTTATACCTCTTCCCCCACCCCTCGGTGACTATCACCCAAACAATTTGAAAAGGGAAAGTAGTAAGTGTGATACATCATTAAAAAGGTAATTTCATAAGGAATTCAGCCATGTCAATTTTAGCTACCTAACTTTCGATTTTGGCGCCTTCTTGCAGAAAAAAAACTGTTCCGTATTCCAAATTATGATACTTCATTCGCAAGCTAATTTGACATAAATTCGGTTACAATACATTATGGAATTTTTCTAGGGGAGCTGGCGGACAAGATTTAAAATTATGGTCCAATTTGATTCAAAGTTGATACGTGGTGGTTTCAGGGTCGGAAATTATGAATTGTTTTTCAATACAAAAAATCAAGATGGTGGCTCCAAAATGGCGGACGAAATTTGTAATTATGGTTTGATTTAACCCGACACCGAAAACGAATTCTTCAAAACACATGTGTTGTGAACATAATGCAAAAACACGTCAATTTTAAATCCAATCTTATCGTTACCTCAATTGTCATACTTCTCTCCCTACCCCTTGTTCACTCATACAATTTGATTAGGGAAAGTACTAATGGTGACACAGCATTGAAAAGGTTTTTTTTGGTACCTTGGGAGCTGTCTGACTTGCCCATTTAGTCCAAGTCTCCAGAAAACACTGCAGCCTCTTGGGCTTATTGCGTTTATTATCCCATCTTCTCATGACACCCATTACATCAGTCTCGTTCCCTGTACTAGTTTGTACAGGTTCCGTGT